GTCGAGCCTAGGAGTTGCATAATCAGAGTGTGAGAGCCCTGAAGCATGATTCATGGCCACCTGGATCATGGGCCTGATCTGTCCTCTCATGACCCTGGTACTGAGTGTCATGCAGCTGCCCTTCCCTCCTCCTCCGCTCTTTTCCACTCATGTCTTTCTTTTTTTTCTCCCACTTGGTCTTTCCTTCCCATCTTCCTTGCAAATCTGAGTGTAAAGGAAAGAGCTGGATGTACATTCTCCTGCCTTCCATTTTTTTTCTCCTCTGCACTGGGCTTTCTGTTGGTGGGGTGGATAGAGGAATTCTATCCCTTGCCCCTTCTCAGCCTGGGAAGTTTACAGAAGCCAAAGTTATGGACAAGAGAGCCAGGGAGCAGCCAGGGACAGAGTGTGGCTCATTACCAGTTTCCAAGTCACAAAAAAATGCTAGGGGAAGGATTCAGCCAGAGGAGAAGTTAACACACCCTAGACTCACTAGGGAGGTTTCCTGGAGGAGACCTGGGCTGAGGTGGGCCTTGGAAGGGCAGGAAACCACAGCACAGAGAGGAGAGGGGCAGGAAGGCCTTTCCCAACCAGGCCTGAGCACAGAAGGGTTAAATTAGGCTGGGGGCAGGGGCCCGGATGAGAAGCTGGAGCCCACAGCAGGGTGTGACAGGAGCTAGGGGCCGCTCTAGGAGCTGAGAGACTACGGCAGAAAAGCAGGAGGGAGCATGGCTGGGGCAGGCGGATGTCATGGCAGAGGAGGATTTGGGAAATCCTGCGAAGTGGAGTTTCCAGTTCTTTTACCCACCCTTTCCTAGGGCTCTGGGTCTGACTTTGGGGACCTGGAAACAGCCTGGAGCTCTCCAGAGGGCAGAGGAGGTTCTGCTGGGAAGACCCCTCTCATCCTCCAGCTGCTGTTGCCTGCATTGTTCTCATTAGCTCCAGGAACACCTGACAGAGCCTGAGGAACTAGGAAGCAGACCTTTGTAGCTGATAGCACTGCCTGGTACAAAGAACAAGAGTGTCGCCTGTGTGAGGTTGACTTGGAGGGAGACAGGAAGTGAAGCTTCGAGCCAGGTCAGCAGAAATATGGAAAAGGAGGCCTGCCCCAGGACTGCCGGGCTCTCCCTATGTACAGCCCTTGCTTCCCAGGCTTCATCACAACCCTGCAGCTCTCATCGCTGCCATGTTAAATGGGAGGAAATTGAGGCTCAGAGAGGTTAGGACACCAGCCTAGGGGCCCCATGGGGAGAAAGTGGCAGAGCCCAGCATTTCAGCCGGGTCTCTCTGCCTCTGAATTCATCCTTTTCCCGGAGGACTACGGTTGCCTTACAATATGTGACCTCAGAAGGGTCGGTCTGTCGTGCTTTGAGGAATTCAGCCCATGACTGAGGACCTCTGTTGACAGCCTGCCCTGGGCCCAGGTTTCCAGCTGTCTACTGGCACGAGGCAAGGAGAGGCTCAGCCATCCTTGGCCCAGGACCAGGCCCTGTCCTGTGTTCTCCATTGGCCACCTGAGCAGGATCCGGGAGACCACGTACCTCCTCTCATGTCAGTTCCTAACCTCTCTCAGTGCCTGCAGCTCCTGCAGAGTGAGATAATGATGTCTTCATGGGGTTGTCTCAAAGAGCTAATGAAGTAAGGTACCGAGAAGCACGTGGCACACAGTAGGTATGCAGCTGCTATTTATTAAATTTGAATTCAGGAGGTCAGGCCGCTTTCAACCTTGATTCCTGGTCCCACCTGGATATTTTTTCCTAGTTCATACTCTTTTTGTTTCCTGGCAAAAGAGCCTTAAATCCAGCTGATGTTTCCAAACCCTGCCTCTCTGTGTCTTCCCCTCCAGGCCCTGCTTCTGACTCAGTTTGACTCTTCCACCAAACCCAAAGATGCCGAGATCTTCCCAGTGTGCCACGATCTGAGCCAGGCCTGAGCACAGAAGGGTTAAATCGGGCTGGGGGCAGGGGGCGCTGATGAGAAGCTGGAGCTCACAGCAGGGTGCGGCAGGAGCTAGGGGCCCCTCTAGTTGCAGGTGGGAGCAAACTGAGCTCTGAACTTCAGCTTTCCCTTCTGTAAGTACATCCCAGCCCTGTGAGAAAGGAGCCTTGTAAGCAATGAGGAGCAGAGCAGATGCCAGAAGGGATCATCATGGACCATCCAGAGCAAGGCACAGCTGCACTGGCAGCCCGGGCCCAGGGCGGCATGAGGGAAGTCTAGGGATGAAACCAGAGACATGAAATAATATGTGATCACGGTGGGTGCGTAACCAACACAGGCTAGGCCAGAATTCTAGTTCCAGGGTGTATTAGACCATTCTTGCATTGCTCTAAAGAAATACAACAATTTCTTTAGAGCAATGCAAGAGACTGAGTAATTTATAAAGAAAAGAGGTTTAATTGGCTTATGGCCAGGCTGTCCAGGAAGCATGGCACTGGTGTCTGCTTGGCTTCTAGGGAGGCCTCAGGAAGCAGACAATCAGAAGGCAAAGAGGTTGCAGGCACATCACGCAGCAAAAGCAGGAACAAGAGAGTGAGTTGGGGGAGGTGCCACATGCTTTTAAAAGATCAGATCTTGTGAGAACGCTCATCAGGACAGCACAAGCCATGCGGGATCCGCCTCCGTGACCTACCAGGCCCCACCTCCAACACTGGGGTTTACAATTCAACATGAGATTTGGGTGGGGACAGATATCCAAACTATATCACAAAGGGAGAAGGGAGAGCTGCAAGAGGGGACAAGGCCTAATCCTAGAAGGCAGAGACTCTGCCCGTTAGAGCAGAAGGCCAGTTGCTGGGGTTGGGTCAGTGTCCAAGCCAGATAAGCAACAGTGAGACTGAGTTAAAACTCCTAACAGTGATATTGGCTAACACAGAGCATACAGCGTGCCATGTGCTTGTCTAAGAGCTTCAGGTTTACTCCTCACAACAGTATTTTGAGTTAGGTCCTACTGCTGATCTGTTTTAAAGATGAAGAAACTGAGGCACAGATTGAGCAAAACTCTGGACCTCTGCTAAGCCTGGCAGCGTGACTCTTCACATTCATAGCTTGAAATCAGCCATGGTGGGAGCATTACACCATGAAAATTGGCAGAGGGCACAGATCAGGGCTTTTCTTTTTTTTTTCTGAGACAGGGTCTCGCACTGTCACCTGGGCTGGAATGCAGTGGTGCGATCATAGCTCACTACAACCTTGAAGTCTTGGGTTCAAGCAATCCTCCTGCCTCAGCCTGCTGAGTAGCTGGGACTACAGGTGTATACCACCATGCCCCGCTCACATACTATTTTTTGGTGAGATGGGATCTCACTGTGTTGCCCAGGCTGGTCTCGAACTCATGGCCTCAAGCAGTCCTCTTGCCTCGGCCTCCTAAAATGCTGGAATTACAGGTGTGAGCCACCATGCCTGGCCTACATTATTCTTTTTTTAAAATTCCTGCATAATATTCTAGTTTGCTTCATCTTGCTCCCAGTGATACAGCAGTTCAGGTCCAGTAAAGAGAAAGTTAAGAACCAGTTTACCAGCACACCCCAAGATTCATCCCAGAACCTTCATGTACTTTATCCATGGGAGGAAAAAAGTTATATTAACTGGGAAACGGGCAAAGCCTGAAACACAAGATGATGACAATTAACATTTTTAGGAGCTTCCTGGCCCTGTTCTACACATTTTCCATGCATCTCGTGTAAAAACTTTGTGCGAAGATCAACATTCATTTAATCTTCATTTTAACCCTCTGAGGCGTAGACACACTTATCCCTGCTTCACAGATTAAGAAACTGAGGCACAAAGAAGTCAAAGTCTTGCCCAAGATCAGGCAGCCAATCAGGGAGCCTTGATTCATACTCAGGCAGTCCAGAGCCAAAGCCTGTGTGTTTACTACTTTTATGGTGTTGGTTGTTTTTGAGATGAGTCTCACTGTGTCACCCAGGCTGGAGTGCAGTGGTGCGATCTCTGCTCACTGCAACTTCCGCCTCCCTGATTCAAGTGATTCTCCTGCCTCAGCCTCCCAAGTAGCTGGGATTACAGGTGCCCGCCACCACTCCTGGCTAATTTTGTATTTTTGGTAGAGACAGGGTTTCACCATGTTAGTCAGGCTGGTCTCAAACTTCTGACCTCAGGTGATCTGCCCACCTCAGCCTCCCGAAGTACTGGGATTACAGGTGTGAGCCACCATGCCTGGCCTTTTATGATGTTTTTAATGAGCCGTTTGTAAATGTTCAAACATTACCCCACTTTTCATTTTTTTTTTTTTAACATTTGCATGGTGCCAGATACAGTATTAGACATGGGAAACAGAAAAGTCCATATCAGATGCTGGAAACCTTGTGATTTAAATAAAGCCTGGAGTTGATATAAACTGAGTTTGAAGCCTGGTTCTGCCACGTACCAACCATATGACCTTGAGCAGATGGCTTAGTCTCTCCAAGTCCCAATCTTCACGTGTAGGTGGAGGATGACTGTTTACCTCATAGGGTTACAGTGAGAAGTGAATGATGTCATAAATGTACAGTGCTTGGCACGACATCCAGCACACAATAAACCTGCAATAAAAGGAGGCTGCAGTAATCATAGACCACAGGTTTATGTCCAGGTAGCTCTGCGTGAGGCAGGGAGACCGGCATCAACACATAAGAGGTAAGAACAGAAGACAGAGTACCCAGTTCTTCCTAAGGGAGTTGGGGAGGGTTCTATTGAGGAGGTGACATTTGAACAGAGTTTTAAGAGGCAAACAAGAATTTTCCAAGCAGAGAAGGGAAAAGGGGGTTTTCCAGTGGAGGGAAAAGTGCATCCTAAGGCATTATAGGTAGGAGCAAGCATGTAACTGAATGGAAATACCAGAAGACGCCCACAAGAGGTGTGATCACACCTTTGCCTTTGTGATTGCTGTTTTCTCCCTGTAAATTAAACTGCATACCTGGGGGCAGGTGCGAGGAGAGGGAGCAGAATGGAATGTTTTCAGAGTCTTGGAGAACAGAGGTTCAGACCAACCAGATAACCTTTGAACTCCAAAATCCTGCCTTTCTATTTTTTGGGTCCCTGACTGCCGCACCATTTAGAATTAGGTCAGACCACCCACAGCATCAAATCACAGCTGAACCTGGACTCTGTCAATAATTGGCTCAGGCCAGATCTGCCCTCCACGCTTGAAGGTTGGGCTGCATGGACCAAGGCCTGTTTCCCTGATGCTGTGAGCATCCTTGGCTGGTTCACTGCCATTCCACCCTCTGCCTCATTAAACCTGACAGGTTCAGAATTGAAGCCTGACCTCTAAGGAAAGGCCCTTAGAGGTCATCTCATTCAGGCTGTTTGGTTTTCATTTGGGGCTACTGAGTTTCAGATAAGGGAAATGACTAGCCCAAGGTCACACAGTAGCCTGGGACCAGAGCCCAGGGCCAGTGAGTGTATTCATCACGGCACTGATGGAACACAGCTGCCACCATCACAGGCTGCCCACCCAAGCCAGCCTCCCAAACTCCCCATGTAAGCTAGCCTTCCAAAGCCTGCTCCCTGGGCTGCTGCTTCAAGTGGAGAAACCCGACGTCGTGGTCCAGCGCAGGACTTCCAGTTGTTCTTCTTGGGAGAACAGCAATGAGCCCAAGCAGGAACACAGGGACAGGGATCTCCCTCTTGCTCCTTCACTCATTCACTTGGGTCACTTCACCCCCTGAGCCTTAGTTTTCTCATCTGTAAAAATGGGGATCATCACATGCTACTCACATAAATTTATGGTGAGGATTTTTTAAAAACATGTAGAAAGCGACTGCCATGATGTGCAGTCTCTTCACAGAGGTGTATTTGCAGAATATTTTTTCTTACCAAAAGCTAAAAAGTGAAAGAGGGGTTAGGAATGTGGGCAGTGGGGGAAGCTCTGTGATGACTAGCTGTGTGGCCTTGGGCAGGTAACTTCACTTCTCTGAATTTCCATTTCCTCGTCTAGAAAATGCGGGGAATGTTAGCAGGTTCCTCCAGGGGCCGCTGTGAGGATTGAATTTGCTAACACATGCAAGGCACCGGAGCAGTGCCTGGCCTGGGTGGTCCAGGTGCAGTAGTGATAGCTGCCCTTTCTATTGTGAAGATACTGTCATTGTTATCCTCTTTGGTCAGGGGCTAAGATGTTACTGAACAGGTGGCCCTAAGATTGCTTCTGCCCTTTTTGCTGCTTCCATCCTCTCCCTGATCACCTCCTTCTATTCCCTTCCATCCTCACCAATCTGACCATGAAATTTAAAAAGTATACATTTTAAAAGAAAGCCAGAGTGGCCCTGAGAAGAGGCTGGGAGGGTCCACAGAGTCTGAGCTGAATCAGTGTGAATTTCTGACCCTCCACCTCAAAGATGTATTTAGGACAGAATGTGTTGGCTTCAGCCATGAGCCCCTGCTCTCTCTCAATGCTGCCTATGCAGCTAGCCCCTGCTACTTTGGTCCCAGCAGGGTGGCCAAAGCCAGCAAAGAATCTGTGTTTGTTTCTCCTGCTCCCATCCCACCCAATAAGAATTTGGCAGGACGGGGTCTCCTCAAATCTCCCTCCAGCCCCCTCCTCCTCAGAGTACAGGGGGAAGCTGGTAAATTCAGTTCCTACTGAACCTTTGGACCAGACCACAGACACCTGCAGGTCCAACAGTGCCTTTCTGTTGTCAGCAAGGGAGGGCACATGGTCCTGGGATGCCTCTCTTGTCCAAAGGCTGCCCCAGACAACTTGGCATTGTTCAAAGCCCTTTGCCCTTTCTTGAAGCTAGGTTCCCAGCCCTTTCCTGGGAGTTTATACATTGTCTACACCTGCTTCCCCACTACCAGCACCCTCATTTCTCTGCTGTGCCTTTGTTGGTTGTTTGCACAGGTCCTGAGCACCTGGTGTTCACCAGTCACCATGATAGTCAACATTCACCTTTCTCATTCACTGGTGGTCTTCACTGCAATCCTGTGTGGAAGGTATTGTCATCCGTGTTAGACATATGAGAAAAATTTAAGGCTCAGAGTTATAAAGACACTTTCCCAGAGCCACACAGTTTGACTAGAGCAGAGTGAAGACCTGTCCCCAGGCAAGGCTTCCTAGAGCAATTCAAGATTAAGCTGGAGCTTAAAGTCTGAGTTGGATTTTAAGGAGGGGTGCAAAGAGGTGATGGCCTTCCAGGCAGGAGGGACAGCCTAAGCAAAGGGGTGACGGGAAGGATGTGCTTCATGTTCACGGGGGTGATGAGGAGACGGTTATGGTCTGAAATCAGAGTGACTGGAGCAGGTGGGTCCAGCAAGGGGGCAGTCCCCAGCTGCAGTCCCAGGCTAGGATGCACCATCACTTACCTGATTGCCACACCCACCTTTTAGCTGGTCTCCTGCCTCCCAAGGCAAGAATCTATTCCTAGAACGGGTTGATTTTTTTAATCCTTAATATCAGGTATGGAAGAAATGTCTCATTGTGCTCCTTAAATGAAATTAGTCCAGACTCAGAGTTCCCTAGCAACCCTACCCTGTAGGAAATTCAATCCCAGTCGTCACTGGAGTGACCTCAACCCACTGCTGTGACCACCATGCCAGGGATGTTTCAAGGAAACCACGCTGATTATAGCTGAGATATCCCAGCCCCACCTGAGAAGCCCCTCTGGGTCTGCAGACTGTGTGTCTTCTGTCGAGAGGGTGCCGTGTGGGGTGCAGCAGAAGCCCTGGAGCGGAGATCCAGCCCTCTCTATGCACTCAGTGCCACCCACCCACACACCAGGCACCAGTCATGGAACTGATGGGCTCTGTCACCTTCCCAGGCCCGGAGACCCCCTCCCCTTCCTCACACCCCCACCTCCCTGACCAAGAGACACCCCATCCCCAGGTGCTCCAGCTTTCACAGAACAAAGACTGGAAGGATAGCTCCTCCAGGAACTTGGCCTTTGATCCTACAGCCAAGCTGTCTCTCCCAAGGGAGTGTAGGTCTGCTTTACCTCTCTGGAAAGAAGGGGAGGGATAAGGAAAAAAATTACAAGTGAGCGGTTCGGTAGATTGTCCCATCCGACACCACACCCCCTTTCCACACTCCCTTTTTAGACTACCTTTCTTTCTAGTCCTTGAATGTGCCCTGCTTTGTGTCAATTCCAGGCCTGTCTGCATGTCCTCATTCTACCTGGAGCACCCCACCCCCTCCTGTCTCATCCCACAGCCTCTCCCCCCAACTCCTCTTTCACATCTCATCAGAGATGACCCTTCCTGGGAACCGAAACTCTCCTGAGTCCTCTGCCTCCCTAGGGGTCTGGCTGGCACTCCCAGGGCACCCTGCTCGTCTCCCCGCACATGGGTCACCTGTGTCACCAGTGCCTTTTCTTCTTGCCTACATCACCCACGAGATGCTTGTCGTTCATTGTATTCCCAGGGTCCCACACGTAGCCTGAACATGGGAAGTGTTTAGTAAACGGGTTGAACAAATGAATGGTCCAATCCCTGAATCAGACTCAAATGAAAAATGGACAACTGTTGCCGAGCCCCTCAGCAGGCTGGGCCTACCCTACACTTTTCATCTTCTCTTCCCTGGGGTCTCTGCCATGCCCACACCCTGCTTCTCCCACTCAGAGAAGAGCAGGGATGGAAGGGAAGTCATTTGTCTGGGCACATCCCAAGCAGAGAACACTCAGACCCTGTGTTTGGGATCCAGAACACTCAAGTTTGCAGTCTGCTCAGACGTGAGGACAGATGGCTGGACAGTGGACAGCTGGGCAAGGAGGGTAGGCAGCTTGGCAGGATGGAAATAGCAGTGAACTAAGCATTGGGAGTCCTGGGCTCAGAGCCTATTCATTCCACGAGTTTGCTGCACGCATCAGTCTGGGTTATTTGGTTGCCAGCAACAGAAGAGGACTCTGAGTAACTTAGGCAGAAAAGATATTTATTAGAAGGCTTCGGGGTATGATACAAATAACAGGTAACTGAGTTCTGATTCTGGGCTGTCTGTTGTAGCAAGGGGCAAGCAGGGCACCAGGGGAGGAGAAAGGTGACTCCCAACAGGAAATCAGGGTTTTGACTACCTGAAAACAAATTGTTGGCACACTGTGTGACCGGAGACTAGTCACTTAATCTCTCTTTGCCCCTGTTTTCCCATCTGGATGATCTGAAACTGCCCTCTCTCCATTTATATCTCCAGCTTGCTTTTTGCTGAGAAAGCTTCCTGCGCTGGAAGATGGCACCCTTCCCCATCCAGACACCTTGGGAATGAATTATGAGGGAGCCAGGTGAGTGAGCATTTATGCTGTCCCCCTGCAGCCCACCCACTGAGGAGGCCAAGCCTTCATCTGGATGCTCTGGGGCACATGACTCATTCTCGTGAGGTGGTCATCCTGATCATTCCTTTTCCATGAAACCAGCATGTCCCCTGCCCCCTGCCCCCTGCCCCCTGCCCCCTGCCACAGCTGAACATGCTGATGAAAATCTGGATGGCGTTATGGGCCTCTTCCTGGCTATGGTTTGACCATCTTCTTTAATTGGGAGGCTCCTAGCTGGAATCTGCCTTCCTAGAGCCCCTAAAGCTACCAACCCTGAGACCCTGCCACTACCCTGCATTTGGCCTTTAACGGGTACATCAACAGGCTCAGGCCCTGTGCTGAACACATGGGATGCAGAGGTGGTTGAGGGGGTGAGGATGCTCCAAAGTCGGAAGTCGGTGGGGGAGGCAGGTGCATAAACAGCTAACTATAGCAGCAGAACAAAGTAAGAGACAAAGGGACATATGAACCAGGTGTGTGGGGGAGCCCAGAAGTGGGAGGACGCAGTTCTTCCTGAGAGATCAGGGAGTGCTCCGTGGAAGACGTACCGCCTGAGTCGCACCTTGGAGAATGAGTAAGATTTGACAAAAGGGGAAAAGGATCTTCCAGGCTGAGGGAACAGCACAAACAGGGCTCGAAAGGAGGAATGGACAGGTTCAATTCAGCGAATAAAAATGTCAGGTGGGGTTGGAGCTTTAAGAGGGTGATAAGAGCCCCACATTGATAGTGAGGGGTGTTAACGGGGTACCAGGAGCACAAAGCCCAGATCAGAAGGCATGTCTGCCTGGGCTTGGCTCAGCCTCACACCCAGGAATCCTGGCTTCAGCATCCCAGTTCCCCCTTGCTCCTCACCTATCTTGGAAGCAGGCTCAGGCTCCCTGACTGGCTCAGCAAACCAGCCAGCTGTTTCTCTACGTAAGTCCTGGGCAAAGCTGGGACCTTATGTAAGGAGACTCCAGGATGTCTCCTAATAGCATCCCCTATCCCCCATCCCCCGCTCCACCCCCCAGGCAGAGGGGCGATGCCTCTATGAGAACTTCACCCAGCCCACGGCAGCATCTGTTCTATGTCTTCTGCACTGGCCGTGAGCTTCTGGAAAATGGGGTGGGTGGTCTAGGCTGGGTCTCCAGCACAGCACTGGTGGCGTAGCTGTACGACACATTACCTTCACACATACGAACGAGCCAAGGAAGGTGATGACTTTCGAGTTACATTGGGTTTAGAGTCCAACCACCTTATTTTCATAAGTGAGGCCTCAGACCCAGAGCGCAGAAAGCATTGCCCAAAACCACAAGCGTGATGGGAGGAGAGTGGAAACAGAGCAGTTTGGTTCATAGGAGCACTATTCACAAATAGCCAAAAGACGTAAACAACCCAAATGTTCAACTAATGAACAGATAAATAAAACATCGTCCATCCTACAGTAGAATATTGTTCAGCCATGAAAAGGAATCCATGAAAAGGAATGAAGTGCTGATGCATGCTACAGACTTGGATGAACCTAGTAAACATTATGCTAAGTGCAAGAAGCCAAACACAAAAGGCTGCGTATTTTATGATTCCATTTATATCAAATATCCAGAATAGGCAAACCCATAGATACAGAAAGCAGGTAAGCAGTTGCCAGGGGCTGGAGGGAGGAGGACAGGGAGTGACTTCTTGATGGGTACAGGATTTCCTTTTGGGGTGACAAAAATATTCTGGAAGCAGATCATTATGATGGTTGCACAATGTTATGAATGTATTAAATGCCACTGGATTGTACTCTTTAAAATGGTCAAAATGTTGAATTTTATGCTATGGGAATTTTAGCACAGTAAAAAGAGTAGTTTCAGACCAGATCGGATGCTACCAGCTGGGTCTAAAGTCCATTCCTTAAACATAAGCTGCTGCTCCCCCACTTCCTGTTACAGACCTACCCAGACAGACCAGGTGTGAGAGAGCCAGCATCACTCTCAGTGCAGGGAAGCCACAGGGAAGCCGTATGATCAAGTGGAAAAGGGCTTCCCCCGCCCCCGGGAGGCAGGATTTCTGGCTTCTAGGCTGCTTCTTGCCCACGTGCCTCTGCTGAGGCCTAGCCCCCATCTGCTGCTCCATCCCACTGACCAGCCTACTTCTGATTGCACCAGATGTTCCATACATCTTGGGTCTCCATGCCTCACTTTTTCTATTTGCTCTACCCAAGAAATCCTTTTCCCAACCCCTCATTCACCTAAAAACATATTTTTAAAAACAGCTCCTGGCCGGGCACGGTGGCTCACATCTGTAATCCCAGCACTTTGGGAGGCCAAGGCAAGCAGGATCACCTGAGGTCAGCAGTTTGAGACCAGCCTGAGTAATATGGTGAAACCTCATCTCTGTTAAAAATACAAAAATTAGCTGGGCGTGGTGGGGGGCACCTGTAATCCCAGCCACTGGGAGGCTGAGGCCAGAGAGTCACTTGAACCGGGGAGGCGGAGGTTGCAGTGAGCTGAGATAGCGTCACTGCACTCCACCAGCCTGGGCAACAGAGTGAGACTCCATCTCAAAAATTAATTAATTAATTAATTAAAAACAATTAAAACCAGCTCCTGTGTCCCCTTTGGAGAAGACTTCCTCTTCCCCTTGCCCCTCCCCACAAATGAGCAGAGCCTTCCCCAAGGTGGTCACATGCATACATCGATTAAAGCAGGCATCAGGGTACGGTCGCGTCTGCATGTCTGTCTCCCTGAGAAGACTGGGAGCCTGCAAGGAGGGACCTGGATTATTCATCACTGTATTCCTAGGGCAGCTCCAGGCCTTGCTCACAGGAGGTGCTGAGCACATGCCTGTTGAATGTGACGATGGCTTTGGGAAGCTGCTTTCACTCTGGGACATCCTCCATCAGTGAAGCGGGGGCAGGCTGGGTGATTTCCAAGTCCCTTCATCCCTAGTGTTCTCTGGTTATAAGGGAAGCAGTGGTGGGGGCAGCCCAGCAAGTGGCTGCTGTTGTCACAGCCTGGTTTTCTGTTCCTCTTGCCTGGCTGATAGAAGTGGGGAAGGAGAGAGCAGGAGCCGTAGCAATCCAATAAAATCAGCTATTTCTGCTCTTGGTGGGGAGGGAGGAAGGCAGCGCCCAGAGACTGGGTTCCCCATCCAGCCTGAATGGGCCATCTATTTTCTTTGGAAAGCTAATTAAACCCTCCTCTGGACAGCCTGGACATGCAGGCTTTGGCTGGGGTTGCCTGGAGTCCTTCGACTACAGGGAAGAGCAGCAAGCTCTTGCTCCATTTTCCTCTGCAGTCAAGAGGTGCTACTCGTTCTGCTTTTCTGGTTATGAAATTAGTCATTTTCTAGGAAGCTTATTTATAGAGTCCACTGCACACATGCAGCACTGAGCTATTCTGAACACAGCTTGGGGCCTGAGAGGCTTAAGGTGTGAAAGCAGGTGTGAGTCACACATGGGTCCCCTTCCAGAGGTATCTGGATACTGTGCCTTTCTGTACCCAGCCAGGGGTCAGCCCTCATGGTGCTGCCGTCCAGCTGGGTGCTCTTTAGGGTAAGGAAAGAACAAGTTTAGGATTGGAGGTTTGGGGGTGGGTGCTCTCAAACACAATCCCTGTGGCCACCACCAACGCAATATAAAATGTGGGGCAAGTCAGACTCCATCCTCTGCCTCAGTTTCTCCTCTGTAAAATGAGAGGCCTTCCAGGTCTGTGATTCTCTGACTTCTGTGGACAATAGCTATGGAGGAGAGCTCCCAGCTACTTAGCAAAGACCCATCCACGAAGCAGCTCAGATGATGGCTGTGTTTGAGGCTCCTAATGTTTTCTCAAGAACATTAGGTCAACATTTACTTATTCCATAAATGTGTGTTTATTGAACATCCTGCTACGAACCAGGCACTGTGCGAGGCTTTGAAGATATGATGGTAAATAAAACAGAAATAGTGGACTCTGCCTTCATGAAAGCTACAGTCTAATGATGAAGACAGGTGTTGAATAATGGCATAAATTACAGTGACATTTCTAACTGTGTCAAGTGCCTACCATGAGGAAAACGTACTAAGAAGTAGAGCTAGAGAACCTCTCTAGGTAGTAGGTAGAGAGAAAAACATGTGGAAGGCACTGTGAGGAAAGAGCCTTCCCAGTGTGGCTGGAGTGCAGAGGTCAAGGAGGAGAGGGACGTGGGGTGAGGCTGGAGGGATCAACAGGGACCAGACCACCCAACACCTACTGAACTGTGCCAAAGGATTTTTCTCTTTGTTCTAAGTACAATAAGGATGCCATGAAAATATGTTTTCAAGAAAGGTTATGTGGTAAACATTGAGTTTTGAGGAATTGATTCTGGCTCCTCTCTTCTGGGGAAGAGTTCACCATGCCGCTTTCCGTTGCCTGGGGCAAAGGGGACTTCCACATCCAGTTGTGCAGGTTGTAAACTGCACAGATTTTCTCTGCCATAAGCATTGGAGCCATGTGGAGGATGTTTTGGAGGCCAGCCTGAGTGGATGCCAGCAACCAGTTAAAATATTGCCACAGCAATCTAGGCAAGAGATAACAGTGACTGGGACCAAGATGGGGCGGGAGAAAGATGAAGGGACTCCAGAAACATTTAAAGAAAGCACTTAAAGTTACCTTGAAGGAAGTGACCTCCTCTCTGCAGGAGTGCTGGGGGGCTCTAGGTCTTGTGATTCTCAGAGACCCTGGCAATTGGGTTGAGGAAAAAATAAAATAATATAATGCCAGTTGAAAAAGAAGATACCAGAGAGAGAAGGGACACCCTGAACCTGGCCTTTCTGTCCTTAATTATTTAAAATCTGGAGTTAGGCATGAAACAGGCCCCAGGGCCAGTCCAAGAAGCAGGATAGCGGGACTCAGGGGCAGAGAGGCAGCTGAGCCTCTGAAATTCCTGGAAGTATGCTAGCAAGGCTATGTCAAGGGTTCTTTTGGTTGCCAGTTTCAGAAATCACATCCCACTGGCATAAGCTAAAATGTGGAGATTTATTGGAAGGATCCATGGCCATCTTGTGGTCTGGACGGACATATTGTCCAAGACTCAGTACAGATGGGAACAACGCGGCTCTCAGGCCCTCATCAGCAGATGTTTGCAGGTCTTCTCTCCGGGGCACTCTGGCTTTCATGATTCAGCCAAGCAAAGTGCACCAGAATGCATTTTCAATGTGCAAGGGAGAAGATCTGATTGACCCAGCCTGGTTTGTGTGTCCAGCCTTGAATCAGTCATCAGCTACTGCCAAGAGTCAGAGACATGAAAGACAAGGCCACTGGAGCCCACGCCGCTGCATTTCAGGCCATTCCCAGGGTAGAACCCCTGTGAGCCAAGTGTTTGCTCTCAAGATATAGCTAAAGATGCTCCATGGGGTCTGGCTGATCTCCAGCAACCTTTTTCCAGCTTACCAGGTAAAGGAGAAAAACTGGACCCCCATACTGTCCTATAAGGTGCCCTGATAGGCTAGAAAGAGGGTTCTCTGATTTCAGGAAGGAAACATTTAGACTATATAAAACATGTATATAACTACTTTTTGTAGCTATTTCTGGAGAAGAGTTCTGCATGCCACTTTTCACTGCCTGGGGCAGAGGAGATTTGCACATCTTGCACAGACTTGGAGAGCTGGACACAGGATTGTGGGTTACTCAGAGCCCTCTTCTTGTCCACCCATGGTTCAAAACCACTGGAACTAGGAGACAGAATGGCACAGCAGCGAGAGCATGAGCCTGGAGTCCTAAACCATAATTTTAAATTCCTCTCTATTCTGTTGAGCTGTGTGACCTTGGACAAGTTACTTAACCTCTCTGAGCCTGTTTAATGATCCCTCATTCATGAGGTCATAGTGAGGATTTAATGTGGTAAAGTTTGCAAGGTGCTTACATATAGTAAATCCTCCTTCTGTGGTAGAGATGATGATGGTGATGATGATGATGATGATGGTGGTTGTGATGATACTGCTGCCACTGATTCCACAAGGAAGACACCTGCAAAATTCTGCTCCTGCCTCTGCAGCTTGACCCATCAATAGGCTGGTATTTTCCTCAGGTCCCTTTGATGGGGTGGAGTTATCCAAAGGGATACAGAATACAGGAGAGGGAGTCTTCTTATCTTTGCTCAGGGTTTTTGTCTTGATCCTGGCTCAACAGCGTCATCTCACCTTTTCCATCCTGCTGCAGGAGTGAGAGAGAGAACCACGCTGCTGATGACTCCGAGGGAGGAGCCCTGGACATGTGCTGCAGTGAGAGGCTACCGGGTAAGCCTTCCCAGCACCCAGGTCCTCCCAGACCTCAGAGCGGAGAGAGAATGCCCCGGCTGATGCTGGGGCTGGAGTAAAGCCTAGCTAGCTGTGAACTTGCTTGAGAAAAACCATGCGGCTGCTCCATAGCTCTTCGTTTAAATGGGGACTTGTTTTTCTAATCCCTGATGCCTTCTGACCTGTTATCATTTGGAGCTGCTCTAGGCTCACATGGAGGGAAGAGCAGGCAACTGAGGGTGTGCTAGGAAGTGAAGAGAAGGATGAAGAGCTGGGGAGTCCGGGGCTCCTAGGGAATGACCACTGACCATTCAGTGCTGGGCTGACTTCAGGAGATAAGGATAGGAAACAAAAGCTGAAGGCAGCATGAGCCAAGGATGGGGTGGGGGATGTGGAGAACTACCTGACCTCCCTGTTGAGAAGCCCGGCTCGAGGGTGAAACTGTGCTGCTTCAGTCCAGTTGACCACACTTGCAGGGAGCCAGGCCATTGCAGCCACCATGGAGACATTACCAAGGCACTCTTGTCCACAGGGTGGCAGCTTGTCCCAGTTGTAGCCCCATGACCCACACCATGATGAACAGCCTCAGAAGGAAGAAAAAGAAGGTGGGGGGGAGAGTTTCACATTTTTAAATAAGTTTTTATTGTTCTTTTCCTTCGTATAACAAAAGGTTAACTGTCAAAATATTAGAAAATAAATACAAATAGAAAAAAGAAAAATTGCCATAATCCTGTAACACAGCATGTATTTTTATATCTCTCCTTCCAAACATTTTTAGAAGACACATCTTTTGGGCCAGGCACAGTGGCTCACGCCTATAATCCCAGTACTTTGGGAGGCCGAGGCGGGCAGATCACGAGGTCAGGAGATCAAGACCATCCTGGCTAACACGGTGAAACCCTGTCTCTACTAAAAATACAAAAAAATTAGCCAAACTTGTTGGCAGGCACCTGTAGTCACAGCTACTTGGGCGGCTGAGGCGGGAGAATGGCGTTGAACCCGGGAGGCGGAGCTTGCAGTGAGCCAAGATCACACCACTGCACTCTAGCCTGGGCAACAGAGCATTACTCCGTCCAAAAAAAAAAAAAGAAGAGGAAAAGTCTTTTGAACTCTTAACTTTGAAATCCCAAACCTGTAGCTTGTCAGAGACCTCATGATTGGCAAGGAACCTTAGAATGGAGTCTTCACGTGACACTCTTTAAGACAGACACTGGAAACAATCAGGTATGAGTCTAAAGCGATGACTCTTCAAAATAAGTGGTATTTTATTCACACCACACACTTGGTGCCCGGCTCCGAGGAAGCCCTTTGGTGCAGTTCATACCTTAACCAGTAGGGGGTGCCATTGCTCAAAACACTGGACAGCCTGTTGAGATGGTCTACGACGGACGCCATCTGTCTTGAAGAGGAGAATTCTCTGAAAAGATGTGAGAACTGCCTGAATATCTGAATGGCTGTCTTGTGGAAGGGGCAGCAGATCTATTCTGTGTATCTTAGGATGACGTAAGCCCAAGGCATTGAAATTAAAGACAGGCGTGTTGGCCCGTAGACACAGAACTCTCTGTCCAGTCATAGAACTCGGTAATTCCAGAAGGAGAAATGAGTATTCCGTCACAGGAGGCATTCAAGTACTGGGTAGATAGACAGTGGAGAGGAAATTTCCACAATGGGTGGGAGGTCCACATGACATCAGAAGTTCCCTTCAACTATTAAACAGTTCTGTGATTCAGATATGAGTCATAGAATTCGGAGATGACGCTACAATCAGGGATGGCCCCACTGGCTGGAAGAAATCTGCAGAAAATAGGACAGGATGAACAGGAGTTCAGAGAGTAGCACAGTGTGGAGGAAGAAAGAGCATGGGGTTTGACGTTTGAGTCTGCCTGTTCTGCTTCAGGCTGTGTGTTTATGCACGAGTCACTTAACCTTGCTGGAGCTCCAGTCCCTCAACTGTGAATAGAAACAATAGCAATATGAATATTTATCCTCACAAGGGTCCTGGGGGAATAAATAAATTTCACCAGTCAGTCATTCACTCCAGTATTTATGAGCACCTACTGGGTCTCAGGTTCTGTAATAGGTGCTAGAGATATAGTGGTAAATAAAACAGACATAGGCCCTTCCCTAAGGAAAGTTCCTGGACAAGTTTGGCTCTGAGCTGCTTCTGCAAAATGGGATGAAGCCTCAGAGGAGAGGCTTGCAGTAATAAGCATAATATGTTAATCCCAATGTTCTCTCCCATTTCTCCCCGAAAACCAGCAACCAGTGTAGAATAAAAGAGTATTGGTCATGTAATATCCTAGGAAATCAGTGTCATTTGCTACCCCCATCTTACAGATGAGAGGACGAAGGCCCAGGGAGCTTAGGCAGTCCGTTCAAGGTCACTTAGCTGGTAGAGGGGAGGATTCACTCCAGGCAGCCTCTCTCAGTAGCCCATGTCCTCATCACTACCTTGTTCTGCCTCTGTTGTCCCCATGGAACTACTGTCGTCTTCTGGCAACCTGTGGACTGAGGCAGAAAGAGTTAAGGTGTGTTTGTGCCAGATAGGAGTTTGGAGGAGGTAGACAATGTCACTGTGCCTGTCCCCGTCTGTGTCCTTCCTCTGGGAAGTCCTGCCTGCAGAGGCCGAGCAAGTTGTGTGACCCTCTAGATTCTCATGATGCTGTCCTCATAGGGGATTGCAGTAATTATTTGCCTCCTCCATGGGGCCGTGAGCTCTCTGAAGGCAAGCGCCTCTCTGTTTCATCTCTGCATCCTCCATGTCCAGCATGTATTCCCTCATTTCTTCATTCTGTCACTACTGATTGAGCACCTACGTGTGCTAGACACTGTTGTAAGCATTAGAGATTAAATAGAAATCCAAACTGAAAAAATGGCCCACCCTCCCAGGACAGGATTATGTGCTGGTCAAGAGCAGGAACTCTGGACCTCAGCTTGGCCCCACCACTTACCAGTGGGATGATCATGGACAAGCTACTGAATCCTTCTGGGCCTCCCATTCACAATATAGCAAGAACAATATTCACTGCTGTGTCGAGTTGTTAGAGGATTCAGTGAATTAACAGAAAGCTTAGCACAGTGCCTGGCATGGAGCAAATGCTGTACAGACATTTGCTATTAAGGCAAAAATAGACAACAAATAAGTAAGTCATGCCACACAGTTTGGCTAATAGTGGTAAGTGCTGTGAAGACAATTAAAGCCATGAAGAGAGGGATGGGAAAAAACTGGGGGATGGTTTGGCATTGTGAATAGGGTAAATTCATATTGCAAATTTGTGGAATTCTACTCTACACCACAGCCTGGTGTAGAGTAAACTTCCACAGATGTTTGCAAAGGACACTGACCTGTACTGCAACTTGGACATAAAAGGAAATGGGGGTTTGTAGGCCAAGGGGGTTGGAGTGTTAGGCCTTTAGAAGGAGCCCATGAGCACTACAGGCAATTGCATAATGATGGTATAAAAATCCAGCCTTCAAGAACTCTCTCCCCTCCTGACTGTCTTGCCCAGAGGCGAGGCAGAGTGAGGACCAGCCATGCCTAGTGGCTCATTCGTTCCCACACCCACCTCCAGATAGGGGCAACATGGTCAACATTCCCAGCCACCATGGTCATCCAGATCTGAGCCAACACGGGGCAGGTCATACAGTTCCCTCAGAGCTTTCTGGTGTGGAAACATCCTCAGCATCACCAACACCCCCTGGCACCCGCTGCCACCCCCTGCCACAATGCCCCAGGGCCAGGCATGCTGCCTCAGCCCCTGGAACACCTCACAGTGTGCTCGCACACTCGTGTTTGTGCTCACTTGTCACAGCCGCATGCTCCCCGATGCACATGCATGTACCCACGCAGTCACCCGGACACGTGGCCTCCCTCTGCCTCACATAGCCCTGCAGGGGCGGACGCACACCTCCAGGCTCACACACCTGCATGCTTTCCTCTTGCACACTCACCTCTCTCAGCTCCATCCCTCCATCCCGCAGCTTCCACTCTGCATGCTTCCTGGAGGTGTGCTTGCTCTCTCGTTCCCTCCTTAGGTGTTTTTCTCTCTCTCCCACAACTGTACCCCTTCTTCACACACACTCAGAAATGACTAGGCAGACTGCTTTTCTCCCTCTCCATTCTCTGTCCTCTTCCCAGGCTCTCAGTCATGCCCAGCTCCCAGGTACTGTGGGGGCACTGAGTGTCTACCCCACTGCCTTCCCCACCCCCGTGCACATGCATGTGTTTTTCTCCTCCCTTGTGCACACACCCTTTTTCATGTGGTCACCCTCGTTTTCTCTTTCACTCTTCCTTTCTTGCTCACTTCGTTTGCTCATAGTCACCCAAACACTTTGGCACATTCAAACTCACACTCTCCCTTCTTCTATGTGTAGGTGTTCACATTTGCAAGACACCAGGCAGTACTGCTAATGCTGGGGCCTCCACTCCTTCCCCAACCAGCACCAGTACAGGCCTAGCCCAGTATAGTCCTAGCTCCCAGCAGCTGCCGCAGAGGTACAAGGTAGAAGGAGATAGATAAAGCAACAGTGGGTGCCAGGGGGGGCCAGCACTTAGAATACAGCAACATCGCCAGGCATTGCTCTCAGCATCTTCATCATGCAGACTCGTGGGCAGGCCTTCAGGGACCAAGGTCAGACTACCAATAAAGACCCTCACAGTATACCACCCGTGCTCAGTCCTGCACTGCAAAGGCCGTCGCTTGCATGCATGCATGTGGGCAGGCCAGTCTGTATGTCCAAGCTTGGTCCATTCCACCCTAATAGCTACCCCTTGGCCACCCCTCAAACCTGAAGATGGCATAAGCAGGAGACAGTGTCTACCCTCACAGGGATGTACCTGAGCAAAAGACCCATGCAGGCTTCAAGCCATTTGGGCAGGAAATCCTGAAGTCCTAGTAGTTAGAGTATAGCCTGGAAAGGCGAACATGGACACCAGCTGGTAAGAGACTCTAGTTGAGTATGTATCCTGAGCCCTGTGGACTTCTCTGCTTATGGGGAGT